ACCTCCCTGAAGAAAGTGAAATTCAGCTTGGGTCTGAAGCATGAGTTGGAAAATTGGTCAAGTGAAGGTCGAGTGTGTGTAGGGAAGAGTGCCAAGGCAGTGGGATGGGTATGTGTGGAGGATTTGAGGTAGGAAAGGTCTGGGCACGTTTGAAAACTTACCCAGGAAGTTATTTGCTGCTGCAGCCCAGTGGGAGGGACATGGAATGAGGGTGGTGTGAAGTTGGGTATAGGGCAAAGGCCACTGGGGCCTGCTTTCAGTTCCTGGAGCCTATCACACTCTTTCTTGCCTTGGGCCAGGACCCATGCAGTTTCCTTTGCCTGGAATGTTCTTCCCTCTGCTCTTCCTTCAGATCTCACTGAAATGTCACCCCCTTTCTATGTAGATTCTCTTTTTACTCTCCATACTAGCGCTCTATTTTCATTTTATAGCAACTATTTTTTGTCTGTTTAAATTGCTTTTGTCTCTCTCCCACACAAGACTCTAAGTTCCCTGAGGGCAGGGCCTCATCTGTCATTTTCACCCTGTGTCTCCCATGCTTAGAGTGTGCCTGACACACAGTTGGTGCTCAGTAAATATAAAGCCAAACCAAACTCACTGCCTTCGAGTCGATTCTGACTCATAGCGACCCCCATTGGGTTTCTGAGGTGGTAAATCTTTACGGAAGTAGATTGCCCCCTCTTCCTTCTGCAGAGTGGTCAATGGGTTTGAAACGCCAGCCTTCTGGATGGCAGTCAAATGCCTTAGGCACTGTGCCACCAAATATGTACTGGGTAAATGTCTGTCTGTCTGAATGAATGAATGAATGAACACAGAGTTGGATTTGAGATCCTGGCTCCATTCCTACACAGCTATGAGACCTTGGACAAATCACATCACCACCCTATACTTCAGCTTCCTATTCTGTAAAATGGGGATTATACTTCCTATCTCAAAGGGTTTTTGGGTGACTCAGATGAGGTGGTGCATGTGGAGGCACCTAGCAAGGTGCCTGGCTCCAAAAGAGATGCTTCTAAGTGTTTATTTTCTTCCTTGCTTTCCACTCTTAATTCTATGATCCTTTCACTGCATAAGGATGTGTGATGCTCCTTGGGCCTCTATGATCCCCAGCTGAGTGAGTCTCTTGCTCTTCTCTCAGTAACTGCTTCCCTGGGTCATGCTCACAGCAACACAAACATCAAACGTGATACCAGGCTTACGTGAGCAACGGCAACCACAGTGGGAGAAACAAGAGCAGAGGGGAAGGAACAAGTCTTCAGAGGGAGAGGAGAGTGGGGAGGAACTCCTGAAAACAGACCAGACCTTGGGTAGTGGGATTATAACTAGCTTTAACTTTTTAATATACTGTAAGAATTATTTTATTTTGAAATAATTTTAGGCCTTCAGAAACATTGCAAAAATAGTATGAAGAGTTCATGTATGCCCTTCACCCAACTTTCCCTAATGTGAACAACTTACAGAGCCATAATACAATGATCAAAACCAGGAAATTAACACTGATTCAATATTATGAATTAAATTACAGACCATATTTGAATTTCAGTAGTTTTCCCCCTAATGTCCTTTTTCTGTTCCAGGATCCAAATCAGGATCCCACATTGCATTTAGTTGTTATGTGTCTCTTTGTAGTTCTTACTGCTGTTGGGTGCCATCAAGTTGATTCTGACTCATAGTGACTCTGTATACAACAAAACGAAACACTGCCTGGTCCTGCACCCTCCTCCTGCCTGAGCCCATCGTAGCAGCCACTGTTTCAATCCATCTCATTGAGGGCCTTCCCCTTTTTCTCTGACCCTCCACTTTACCAAGCATGATATCCTTCTCCAGGGAATGGTCCTTTCTGACAACATGACCAAAACAGGTGAGATGAAGTCTGGCCATTCTCGCTTCCAAGGAGCATTCCGGCTGTACTTCCTCCAGGACAGATTTGTTTGTTCTTCTGGCAGTCCATGGTATTTTCAGTATTCTTCACCAACACCACAATTCAAAGATATCATTTCGTTTTCAGTCTTCTTTATCCATTGTCCAGCTTTCACACCCATCTGAGGTGATTGAAAATACCATGACTTGAGTTAGGCGCACCTTAGCCTTCAAGGTGACATCTTTGCTCTTCAGCACTTTAAAGAGGTCTTTTGCAGCAGATTTGCTCAGTGCAATACAACAACTGATTTCTTGCCTGCTGCTTCCATGAATGTTGGTTGTGGATCCAAGTAAAATGAAAACTTTGACAACTTCAATTTTTCTCCATTTATCATGATGTTGCTTATTGGTCCAGTTGTGAGGAGGTGTCTCTTTAGTTTCCTCTGATCTATGATACTTCCTCAGTCTTTCCTGACCTTGATGCTTTTGGTTAGTACTGGTAAATTATTTTACAGAATGCCTCACAATTTTATTTTGTCTGATATTTTCTCACAATTAAGTGGAGGTTACATAGGTTTTTTCAGGAATACCACAGAAGTGGTGTTGTGTCCTTCTCATTACATCATGTCAGAAATACATGATGTTGACAGGTCTTATAATGGTGCTGTTAATCTTGCTCACTCAGCTAAAATATTGTCTACTTGGTTTCTCCTTTGGATACTTTTATTTTTAAATTGTATTTTTAAAATTTTTAATTATTAAAATAACAAATGCTTCAAAAAAGTTCAAACAAAAGTATTAAGTACATCAGCTTCCCACCAAGCCCACCTCACCTTCCCAGAGGTGACTTATCATTGTCAACTCTTTGACTTGTATCCTTCTATATGTTTTCTATTCATATTCATGTATATAATGGAGTAATGCCTAAGATTTTCTTTAATTTTGTTTTCTATAATTTTGATAGATTTCCATGACAGTATAACCAAATCTAATTCATTCTTTCTAATGACTGATTAGCATTCCATTTTATGTTGTTGTTAGGTGTCTTTGACTTAGCTCTGACTCATGGTGACCCTACGTATAACAGAACAAATCCCTGCCTGGTCCTGCACCATCCTCACAATCATTGCCATGCTTGAGCCCATTGTTGCAGCCACTGTGTCAGTCCATCTCATTGAGGGTCTTCCTCTTTTTCACTCACCCTTTGCTTTACCAAGCAGGGACTGGTCCCTTCTGATAACACATCCAAAGTACATGAGATGGAATCTCATCATCCTGGCTTCCAAGGAACATTCTGACTATATCCAAGACAGATTTGTTCATTCCTCTGGCAGTCTACAGTACATTCAATATTCTTTGCCAGTACCATAATTCAAATGCATCAATTCTTCTTCAGTCTACTTTATTTATTGCCCACTTCTCACATGCATAGGAGGTGATTGAAAATGCTATGGCTCGGGTTAAGTGTACCTCAGTCCTCAAAGTGACATCTTTGGTTTTTAACACTTCAAAGAGGTCTTTTGCAGAAAATTTGCCATATGCAATCCATCACTTGATTTTGTGACTGTTGCTTCCATGGGAGTTGGTTGTGAATTACATAAAATGAAATCCTTGACAACTTCAATATTTTCTCCATTTATGTCAATGTTGCTTATTGGTCCACTTTTGAGGAATTTTGTTTTCTTTATGTTGAGGTGTAATCCATACTGAAGACCATAATCTTTGATTTTCATCAATAAGTGCTTCAAGTCCTTGTCACTTTCAGCAGGCAAGGTTGTCTCACCCATTCCAAGGGTGACCCTAATATTATACTTCTCTGTATTTTACAGATTTTTTGATGGACATACAAATTATTTTAAATATAGAACACTTTATCATCAAAAATTTACTCAAGTTCCATCAAGAGAGAAAAACTCAAATTTTATCAGAAAATCCAAATATTTTGTGATATAAAATTATATATATTTTATTACTGGAAATAAATTATCTAAAACTTTAAGTCAAAACAAGCCAAAGAATAAAATGCTATATTTTAAAATGGAATAAGAAAAAGAAACTGAACTACCATTGATTTAATTGAATCTCAGATGCTGAGATATAATCTCAGATTATAAAAACACACCATTATCTTTTATTGAAAGAAAAAATTCCTGCCAACTAATGGAAGATGCCATCAATTTTTTTTTTTAATTTTATTTTGATTTGGGTGAGGATTTACAGAGTAAATTCACTTTTCATACAGCAGTTCACATATACTTTGTCTCATGTCATTGACCAAAATTTACAATACAACAGCTCCCCTCCCACTTCCTTCCCATAGTTACCTCTTCCCAGTGTTCATCCCTCCATACTCTTCCGCGCCCTGAGCTGTCTCCCTGTGCATAAGCAGCCCTTCCTTCTCCCATGATTGTTCTCTCCAGGGTGTGTGTCCACTTGAGGTAAATGTTTAACTCACTTGCCTGTACTTTGTTTGGCTGGAAACCACAGGTGTGGGTTCAATTCCAGACCTGAAGGGCAGCCAGGGGCCATAGTCTCAGTGGTTTCACCAGGCTCTATTGGACCAGCAAACCTGGTCCCCACCTTCTTTTTTTTTTGCCTCCAAATGATTTTGAGTTTTGTTCCACATTGTTCTCCCTCTTTATGCAGGATCTCGTACATCCCTTCCAAGTGGATGGCAGTGGTAGCCGGGCACCATCTAGTTCTTCTGGTCTCATAGTTGTATAGGTTGCAGATCAGATGGTGTACCAGTTGCTAGGACTGATTGTTTCCATTCATTTGGTTTTCTTCTTTCTTCTTGACGAGAGAGACCCATTGTTGCATCTAGATGGCAGCTTGCTAGCTTTTAAGATCCCAGTCGCTACTCACCAAAGTAGGAGGTGGAACAATGTTTTGTATAGTATGTTATGCCAATTGAGCTTGATGTCCCCTGCGACTATGGTCCCAAGCCCGCAGGATCAACTACTTGGTCGCTCTGGGTAGCTGAAATGCCATCAATTTTAAGGCATTTCCTGATTCTAGAATTTAAAAAATGTGTAAAGTGGGAATCTTAGAAGTGATAGTTAACTGTAGTCCCTTCTTGGCCCTTTATTAACTAGAATTCCTCTATGTTCTTCCAGGCACAGACAGGAACTTTTGACCAGCTACCCCTCCAGCTCAGAGGAATGGAGTCAACTGATTCCTCCCATGTGGACTCTGAGTTCCGATATGTCCTCTTCCCGATTGTTTACAGCATCATCTTTGTGCTGGGTGTCATTGCCAATGGCTATGTGCTGTGGGTCTTTGCTCGCTTATACCCTTCCAAGAAATTCAATGAGATAAAGATCTTCATGGTGAACCTCACCATGGCTGACCTGCTCTTCTTGGTCACCCTACCCCTGTGGATCATCTACTACTACAACGAGGGCAACTGGATTCTTCCTAAATTCCTGTGTAATGTGGCGGGCTGCCTCTTCTTCATCAACACCTACTGCTCTGTGGCCTTCCTGGGTGTCATCACTTACAACCGCTTCCAGGCAGTGACACGGCCCATTAAAACTGCTCAGGCCACCACCCGCAAGCGTGGCATTGTTTTGTCCCTGATGATCTGGGTGGCCATTGTGGCCGCTGCATCCTACTTCCTTATTGAAGACTCCACCAACACAGTGCTTGACAAAACTGGCTCAGGGAACATCACCCGATGCTTTGAGCATTATGAGAAGGGAAGTATGCCAGTCCTCATCATCCACATCTTCATTGTGTGCAGCTTCTTCCTTGTCTTCTTCATCATCCTCTTCTGCAACCTGATCATCATCCGCACGCTGCTCATGCAGCCGGTGCAGGGACAGCGCAATGCAGAAGTCAAGCGCCGGGCACTGTGGATGGTCTGCATGGTCTTGGCTGTGTTCATCATCTGCTTTGTGCCCCACCACATGGTGCAGCTTCCCTGGACGCTGGCCGAACTGGGCTTCCAGAACAATACTTTCCATCAGGCTATTAATGATGCACATCAGGTCACCCTCTGCCTCCTTAGCACCAATTGTGTCTTAGACCCTGTCATCTACTGTTTCCTCACCAAGAAGTTCCGCAAACACCTCACTGAGAAGTTCCACAGCATGCGCAGCAGCCGGAAATGCTCCCGGGCCACCACGGATACGGGCATTGATGTAGTTGTGCCACTCAACCAGATGCCTGCCAATTCTCTAAAAAATTAGTCCCTGATTGTTGGGGACAGGCCCAAAGTCTTCTTCTCCATGACTATCAAGGTTTGACTTGAGGGAAGAAGAAATGTGTGCTGTGCTCTGGCCTGTGGTTTGTGCACTTCCTTCCTGGACACTGGTGATCTGCTGGGTATGGAGGCAACCTCACCAAGACAGAGATAATGACAGAGAAGAATTGAAGTTTTCAGGCCAGAGAACCACAAGGCCCAGAGTGTCACACAGAAGCATATAATTTTGCTAGGAAGTTCTTAGCATATGGTGAAGCCTCCAGAGTAGAGGGAGCTGGTCGAGTCTCCTTTCCTTCCTTTCTAGGAGGCCCCTCCTAACCTGGTTTCCAGGAGGTGAGAGGAGCAGTGACAGTTCCCAGGGGCCAGTCGGGCACCTTGCATTTGGGGTGCAGAAGAGAGGCGTCAGCTTCTCTTGAAAATTTCTAGATGGTTTTCAGTAATTATATGCAAATGAGCCTCTTGTACCCTGAGCCTCCTCATACCTGCAGTGTGAATGTGGCAATCTCAAACCCCAGGGCTTGGAGAAGCCTTCCCTGGCTTCCAGAGCCCCATGGTTCTTCTGAGAAATCTTAACTTCCAGCTAGTGTCCCCACGTAGTTGGGATCCTTGTCTCTTGTCTACTGGGCAAACATGGATTGCTATTTTTGATAAATGCCTCCCAGTGGCCAAAGTACTGCTTGGGTCTGAGATGGTAGCTATAGGTTGGACTTAGGTAATGGTGACCAAGTGGATAGCGTGTTACAGTCAACCTTTGATGTCACACTGCCTTAAATTCAAGCTTTGGTTTTATCACTTCCTGTTGAGGGGCTGTGGTCTCAATTTCTACCAGTTTGGGTTGTTACCTCTGAGGTAAAGTGTACCTCATAGGGCTGTTATGAGAGGTGAATGCTGAGTCAGTCTCCTCTTGGTAAGGGTGACTCCTCATCCCAGGAACTCCCTTTTTTGGAGAATTTGACTCCCTCCCTACAGCCGATCCCTCAATTCACCACTGAATGGACAACAGGTGAACATCTGGCTTGAGTTGAACCAATACGGTTCTCTCTCTCAGGAACAGTCAGCAAGATTCAGGGATGCTGCTTTAAGCTCTGCAGGTTGCTTACCTGAACACACATGAACTCTGGAGCTGTGAATGTCTATGCATATATGTTTTTCTAAGTGTGTGATAGGGTACAGCTGGCTACCTGCATGAATGTAGTGGAAAAAATGGCTCTGCTCAGAGAGAAGATGAAGATGTGCAGTGCAGAGAGAAGAGGGACCACAGAAGCCTGGGCTAGAGAAACGTTTGTGCTGCTTGGGCCTGCTGGCCCTCCTCCTCAGGCCTGGCTCATCTTCACTCCCTCCTTTGGGTCCTCTGAGATGCCTTTGTCAGATATACTCTCTTAGTTTGCCTAAGCTGATTTGAATGAGTATCTACTAAAAAAAAAAAAAAAAACCTCACTGCCATGGAATCGTTTCAGACTCATAGCAACCCCTCCTTGGGTTTCTGAGGCGGTATCTCTATGGAAGTAGATTGCCCCATCTTCCTTCTGAGCAGTGGCTGGTGGGTTTGAACCACTAGCCTTCTGATTAGCAGTCAAACGCATCAGGCATCATGCCATCAGAGCTCCTGTATCTATTGCTTGCAACCAAAAGACCTCTGAATGAGGTAAATGCTTATACGCTAAAACACAATGTTTCCTGAATTTTAGCCAGTTGTGTAGCCCCCTTGTAAACTTTGCCAACTCTATGTACTACCTACCTGTTTACTTAATAAATATTTTAATTTAAATTAAGTCATGTTTTTAAACTTGAATTTATTTTAAAAGGAAAGTTTTTAACATAATTGTAAATGAAAACCAATACCACCAGCCACGAATAGAAGGTAAATGGAAACAGAAGTACATAATTATTAAGATAAAAATGTTTCTCCATGTACCATCAAACATCACTTGATGTGCCTGCAGGGACTTGTGTAGCACCTCAGGAAGCACTGCTGGGATGTGTATGAATTGCATAGTGTCTGCATTCAGTAAGTACAATAAAAAGTTAACTCTCACAGTTCCAGGATGGTGACTTGTTATCATTCCCTTGTCTCTCCCATAACATTGCACCAACACAAGGTCGGGCAGGGTCTCACTCCCACCCAAGGCTCAGGAGGGTGGGGGTAGTATTTTAGGTTGTAGCCCATGCTACAGCCCTGCTGAACTCTTCACCATCCTGGATACCCTGGATGGCGCTGATGGTTAAGGTGTGTACCACTGACTGAAGGGTTGGTAGTCCAAATCTACCCAAAGGCACGTCAGAAGAAAGACCTGGCAATTTACTTTTCAAAGGTCACAGCCACAAAAACCGTGTGGAGTGCAGTTCCACTCTGAAATATATATGCAGTTGCCATGAGTCAGAATCAACTCAATGATTCTGTTTTTTTCCTTTGTTAACTAGGGCTGTAACCTCTGCTTTGTTGTAAAATTCTCAGAGCCTTCTCTTCTTTTTGATGTAGCCCAGAGCACTTCCTACGGGCAACCTTCCTGGATGCCTCCAGGCATGTTTATTGACTCCCTTCTAGCAGCATTTTAGAGCTGGGAAGATCCAACTTTTTTATACCTTAATTACGGTGGTTATTGAGATTTATTCATGTCATCTATATTCCCCATCGTGGGGACAGGAACTAAGCCTTAACCATCTATGTATCTCCGGTTTCTTACAGACTGCCTGGAATTAAGATCTGTCTGCCTCCAAAGCTTATTGCTTCCCCCGGGTGCAGCATAAACAAATATACTGACACATAATGCAATTATTTGGAAAGAGTTTAAGGAGACTCTTTAGGGACAGATGGGGAACACATTTAACGATGCTGTTTTAAAGTTCTTTGTATTTTAAAGAAGAGATGCAGGGGGTTTTCAGAGGATCAGAACAGTCTGGAGCTGGGAAGTCCAACCCCTTCATCTTACAAAGGGGAACATGGAGCCCAGAGGGGCTGAGTGATAAGTTATACAGCGAATCAAGATCAGCGGTGACAACTGCAATGAAAGCTGGGGCTGACTGCTCCGCATGCCTCTCACTTCTTGAAAAACTGAGTCTTTCAAAGAAGCATCACTAATTAGGCTTCCAAGCCCTCCTGTGACTGTAGTCCAGAGCATTTTCCCCAGAACTCAGCCTTTGTCCCCAGGGAACTACCCATGAGTTATTTCAGTTGAAGAATGTTGACTCGTACAGGACCAGGCCCTTTGCCAAACTGAGATGAGTCACAGACACAAGGGTGACAAGTGTAGGTCATGGTTGAGTAGGACTAAGTATGGTTATTCCTGTTTTCAGTCATCTGTGTCTTATCTATGCTTGAGACCCAATCCCACAGTCAGATATAATAAAACCCTGTTATAAAGCACAGGTTTGTGTGCAGACTTGGTATTTCTGTAAAAGAAATCATGTTTCTCTACATCCTTCCAGTAAGCCATCTACCCACTGATTCCCCCCCCCCCCCCCCACCCACCCCCCCATCCAGCCAGACATCTGTCCATCCATCCATCCTTCTATTCATCCATTCACCTAGCCATCCACACATTCAACAAACACCTATGAGTGCCTATTCTGATCCAGTAACTGCACAAAGCACAGTTTTTATCTGTTATCTCACTGAAACCTCGCACTCTTTCTGAAAGGTAGATGTTATTATCCCCACAGAAATGAACAAAATTAATAAGGACATGAGTTGACTGCATAAGACCTGTTGACTGCCTCCCAGGTACTTGGTACAGAAGGGAAGGGGCTCTGCTTTTTATTGAGCCCATTATGTACTTTCTACATTCCCAAATCTTATTGAGTCATCACAACTACCCTACAGAAAGGATATTTTAATTGTCCATTTTACAGATGGGAAAATTGAGGCTCAGAGGGTTCCGTCAGTTGTAAAGGTAGTAAAGAGCTAGCAAGTGGCAGAACAATATTCAAACCCAGATCTGCTTTAGTGACTATGAGTTTCTTCCCTTCCTTCCCCCTCCATCTGACCCTGCCCTTGTCCACTCCCCTCTAGGCACTGTCCTAGCACTGGTGTGTGCAGCTGGCAGGGCTTGCTCTCTTTCTAGCTCCCTCTTCTAGGTCTCTTGCACTCCTTATGCAGTCTCCCAACAGCAATGATTTTTTTCAGCTGAGGCTCCTGTGGTCAGCCAGGGAGAGCACTCTTGTGGTGGATAGTATCTGTGAACAGTGTTTCAAGAAGCCTCAGAAGTCAGAAGGTCATTGTCCTTGGAGCTAGAAGTTGTTCTTAGTGGTCACTTGGATCCCACTACCTCTATAAGTGTCAGGGATGGCCAGTCAACTTTGGCTGACTGGTTACTACTATAGGCCAGGGACTGTGAGGGACACTTTATATCATTTATCCCTTCCAAGTACCTGTGGGTAGAAATGACCCTTCTCTCTGCCTGACTTGCTCTTTCCCTAGATATCCACATGGCTCACTCCCTTAACTTCTAGGGTTTGCTCAAATGTCTCCTTCTCATTGACTACACCCCTTTTATCTATCATCTATCACAAAAACAAACTTACTGCCATCAAGTCGATTCCCACTCGTAATGACCCCCAATGGATTTCCAAGGTGATAAATCTTTACATAAACTCCTGGCTTTATTCATTTGGGAGCTCTGGTAGCATAGTGCCCAAGGCACTTGACTGCTAATCAGAAGGCTGGCGGTTCAAACCCACTAGCCACTCCTTGGAAGGAAGGTTGGGCAATCTACTTCTGTAGAGATACCACCTTGGAAACCCAAGGAGGGGTCGCTATGAGTTGGGGCCAACTCGATGGCACGTAGCAACAACAACAAGCTAAAGTATTGCTTGGTTTTAAGAAGAATTCAGGGGATAATTTTGCTTTAAGGTTTAAAGATGTCTCAAGGCAATAGTTTCAGGAGTTCATCCAATCTTCATGACTCCAGGAAGTCTGGAATCCATGAAAATTTGGAATTCTGTTCTGCATTTCCCCCTTTTGATCAAGATTCTTCTATGGAATCTTTGATCAAAATGTTCAGTAATGGGCTTGGGGACTTAGGACCATAGTCTCAGGGGACAGTTAAGTTAATTACCATAAGGTAGTTCACAAAGAACAAATGTGGTACATCCTACTGTGGTGAGCAAGTAACTGGGGTCTTAAAAACTAGCGAGCAGCCATCTAAGATGCAGCTATT